AAAAAAAAAAAAAAAAAAAATCTAACTTATAGTACTTGATAGGATAGGATAATGAAAGTTATCCTCGTAAAGTTAACCTTTACTTCAAAGGACATGGATAGGATATAGTTTAGGTGGCGTACATGTGGCATCGAGGCCCACACGGTAATCATCTATAGGCCGATTATTCCATCCTTAGGGGACCCTAGATTTTTTTATCTCTTTTAAAAATGTCTATTTTGTCCATTTCCCTTTTTAATCCCGTAATGTAAACATAGGACAATATGCTGACGTGTAAAGTTGGATGGACTACTTTAAATAATCCTATCAAGCAAAGTAAATGAGCCAAAAGGATAATAAAATTTAAAAGGCCCCTTCTTAACCTGTTCGACCAACGAACCTCCATCAACCACGGCAACATCCGAAAAAGAGCAACAGAAAGAAACCCCACTAGGCAGTCTTTTCCGAAAGCTCGTACATCCGTAGGACTGAAAATTCGCACCAATAATTTCGAGACAGAACTGTACTTGAATGTGTAATGAAAACATCAGCATACCTACAACATGTACACTGCCACATGATGCTCACTGAGCTAACCGGGACCGCAGCACAGGCCATTCCTGGATAGCACCAAGCAGATAGGATAATAAGCAAATCATGCATTGGAGACATATTTTGTTAAAGTGAATTCCAAGCGCAGTTATAATGTGAAAATCCAGCTGAAAGTAGGGGCCTAATAATGTTCTCTTACATTTCATAATGCTGATGCCTGATTGTCAGGTGACGATAGGAGGCCTATCGACAAAAAGCACACCCCGGCCACAACGTCCAGGGCCTTTTGCTCTTTAACTTTTGTCAGTAAGATATCTTCTTATTTGAGTTGAAATCCAACCGGCCAGCAAAAATATCATCCATAAGTCGCTGGCATTGACGATAATATGTGAAACAACAACGCTGAGATTCAAATTTCAATGAGATTTTAGGGCCACCAAAAGTCAATCACCCAACTCGAGAAGTATCAGAAATGAAATACAAACTTAGTCCCACGAACATCACTGATTTTACTTAAAATTTACCGATCCCAAAGAACTGTCCTTTTATCATGATGAAATTTCTTCCTTAAGTGTCACTAAAGCTTAATCTCCGATACATAGAGTTACATGAAAGTTGGCTTATACATTATATACACACAAAAAAACCAAAAGTACACCAACATAATAAGAAAAAAAGATGAAATTACGAGAATGAATCTTGACCTCCGTATTTAATTTCCATGATCGATCAATGAATCTCCGAAATTCTGTCATGCTCACCAAATTAATTAGATACACAGAGGAAGATAAGACTATCCCTGCATAATTGACATTTGGTTTTAATCCGAGACGGAGGAACTAACTTCGCATTAAGAGCAAACAATACCATTACTCTTTCCTAAAGCAGTTGTACCACTGCAGATGTTCCCTAAAACAGCTGTTCAATTAAATATTTGTTGTTCAAAATGGTGTCTATGTCCTCCTAAAAGCAAAGATGTTTCCCTCAAACCGGACGTTCCAACAAAAACTCATCACATGTTAACTAATAACCACGACTCATAAATATGAAATCGGTGTAAATGTCGAGCTGAATCACATTAGGACCAAAAGAATATGGCCTTTTGCACATATTAAGCAAGGTGATCCATCTATAATATAACTGTAAATGATAACTTTCAGAAGAGTAAGCATAATATAATCTTCAGAGTCACAATTTTTCTTCATTTCAAACCCAAAATTAATCTCTCAATCATTGAACCATCAACAGATGAGCAAGCCATTCACAGTCACTACTATTTCACAAATTTAAAACAAAATGAATAATCACAAATTCACGATCACCTTTTTTTATTAAACTCATACTCAATCAACGTACGGGAATATCTTGAGTGAATGACTTTAATGCTTCCAAATTAGAAGAAAAATTAACAAGAAAATGACAAAGGGAAAAGCAGAGAGCTGCCGAGTTGGCGTTCGCGGTGGTGCACCTGTGAACTGGTTGTGGTGGTGGTGCGTAACGCTCGTCGGGGAAGTAAAGGTACGAGACGCCATTTTTTGTGGACATTTGTTTTGCCGCTTTTTTTTTCGTTTTTCCCCCGTGCTCTCAACTTTCGGATTCGGAGTCGGGTTTGGTACGGGTTCGGAGTCCAGGGGGTCCGAGTGAAATTTGCATCCGAATTTGGTTGTGATATATTAGGGCGGGGAATGCACTGCTAAGAGCTTTGGTTGGAGAAGTTGAAGGAATATGCATAAAATGTGTGAAATTTGAGAACTATAACGGGTATTCAAGAATAGGTCTATGCATGATTCACCAATTTAGATGTGTTTCTCTCCTCGCCTCGGAGGATATCTCACCTATTTTATTATCCAAGTGACCTAGGGCTTTTGAGGCTTACACCTACCTTGTTCATTATCCATCTTGGGCTTAGCGGCTTGCTCGTGCTCCACAGTACGGTGAAATAGCGGCATTTGAGACTGTGCATTTGAAACGACAATTATATTAATAAATAGAAAACTCAAACGAATACAAAAAAAGTGACAACTAACACAAAGGAATCAAAAAATATGGAACTGCCCCCATGGAACAACACATGTGTCCAATGGGATAGAACCTCCATCAAATAGAAAAACCAACGCCAAAACACGACTTCATAAAAGAGACTGTATGTCAGGCGCTACTAGACTTGACAAAAACACAACAAAAACAAAAGAATACAAAAAACTACACACACCTGATACACAAATAATACCCCTCCAAATCCTTGCAGAGGAACCGCACGACTACCTAAGTTGACAACCGAGTCACTTACCACAACAAAGAAAGCCAACAGAGCAGTACAACTAGACTTAAAACCTA